GAAAGTCCTTTCCTTCCTCCTCCCCAGGGCCGGCACTACGACTACCGGAGTCTCTGCAGGCTGTGACAAGCAGAACCTAATTTTAGTAGCCAGACCATATGGCTTCTGCTATAGCCAAAAAAAAGTCTATGGCAGCCTTATATAAAGTCAAGAATAGAAGCAGCATACCCAGAGTCAATATAAAATCAGTAACACTTCAGAAAATATTGTTTTCGCTACCTATTTTTCTCTACATCCGTATTTTTAGCTTGATACAGATTAATACAACTGAAGTTTATTTGGCCTTTTAAAATGTCTCTTTCCTCCTTTGTGTACTACAAAACATAAGTATTAAAACCAGAGCGATCCACTGCATATTATTTGATGTCTGCATTTCATAAATGTGCTTAAATTTACACACCAATCCTGTTTCTGAAATGTAATTCTGCACATATATATGACTGGCTCCTGTTACTTTTTCTTTAAAAAAAAAATTTGCTTTTTTAAAATTTTTTACTCATAATTTCTGTTTTATGAAGGATCTGAAAAGGAATGGAGCATATATGACTGTCATAGCTCACAGAACAGCAGGTCTGCAAAAAGCAGACTCTTTAATGCCTCTAACAAATAAATAAAAGAGGTCCTGACACTGTAGCTATGGCAAATACAGCATTGCCAGTTCCTTCTCTACTCTTATAGAGAACCTGCAATAGCAGCAGGCTTGGGAAAAAGCCTGCACAGACAGACTTGTGACTACGGGAAGGTAAGCATATCCAGAGAGCTGCCCAGAACCCAGGGCACACCTGCTTTGCAAACTGGTCTCCTCTCCTCCCAGCCATTCTGAAGTCGGACTCAGCTTCTCCTGGATGTTGACACTTACAGAGTCAGTGACAGTCGCTGCAGAGATGGAAGACGTGAGGAGACACAAGATGTCTGCTGCTATGCTCACCTGGGCATGGGGTCAATAACTAGGAATGAATCCCATGTAGCTTTCATTTAAGGTGAGGTGGGAAAAGACTAAAAAAAAAAAAAAAATCCCAGCACACTAGGATAGGTCTTAGCAAACACCAACTATGAACTTGATCGCGATGACTAACCAGCTAAGATAGTAAAACAAGCATTTTCCAAATAAAGAGATGCAAGTAAGACTCCTTACTGAATGAATGGCAAGATTGATGCCAGGCTCAACACCCCTAACTTAACCTGTGAATAAGCATTCAGTCTGAAAGAGTTCATGATGAAGCAGTCGTCTCCTCTTCCACTTAAACACTAGGAGGTAATTGCTGTAAAATCCCTAGCAGTGCCTTTTTAGTCCCCCGACCAGAAAACAGAGCATAAAACAAGTATTAAAAAACCCACCACCTTGCAAAGTAATGTATGCTAGGATGACGCTTCTACTGGCAGGATAATTTGCTTTCAAAGCTCACATGAAATGATCTGATACTCATCTATCAAAAATGAGATGCTGGACTGGAAGGCTCAGTGGTCTAATCCACGCTGCCAGCATCTTGGCTTCCATGCACAGAACAGCAAACACTCTTGAGAGTGCCAAGGTCCAGAAACGCTATTTACAGCTAAACCATGAATGTAATCGGCAAGCAGAGTAAGCGTACACGCAACAGTCAAATACACACTTAACGCAGAGTGCCTGCTCCACCTCTCAGGAGTTTGTTTCAACTTTCATGTGGAGAATCAGCCAAAAATCTTCAGAAAAAGCCAAAATTTCATACATTTGCATTTTAAAAAAGGATACTAAAATCCTTTTAGAGTTCAACTACGCCGGTTAACTTACAAATGGAGTAGAAGAAACACAAAATGGTGTTAATTGCTCACAAAAACGGATCTTCCTGTAGTTGTCTTCCTGTCCTGTGTTTGTATTTAAAATCATAATCTCATTTTAACAAAGTATGCAGTGAGATGGATTTGCCAAGAAGATTAGTCTATGTGAGAAAATGAGAAGTTACGGTGTTTACTGGCTAAGGACTAAAGATATTTAGAGAGCTGCTTTGAAATGTAGCTTTTAAGGGATGCATTTTTTTGCTAAATAGTTCTTAGTGGCAGCTGGACTAAAAAGCAAAGCTGAAGGGGTTTCCTTTCAAATTCAAAGCAGTCCGAGGCTTCAGTTGCAGCTGTAAAAACACACAGAAAAGGGATTTATTTTCATGTTTAATAGAAATGCATTCACTAGAACGGAAGCAAATGGTACCAAAAAAGGCAACATTTCTGCTATGAGAAACGACACGAGCTTCTCAAGTACAAGCTGCAATCTGTGCTGACACACATTGCAGTTTAAGTAATGCAGGGTGCAAGATTAGTCACTGCTGTGTTACTCACAGAAACTCATTTCTTCACTAGTAATTTGTAGAAAAGCAAAGAAAATTCCAAACCCAAAACTTTTTTTTTAGTTATAGGGAAAGCATCAGGCAATCACTTGATAATGGCTCATGCATGACTGTAGCATCATACTTAATCCTGCAAGGATTGCTTCATAATGAACAAATCAATGTTCAAAAAAAAAAAGGAAAGTATTTAACAGTTACTTTACTGGTAGTCTTAGAATTTAGCTTGTGACCAGCTTTTAAGCATTTCAGGATTCATAAATATATGGCAGAGAAAGAACTTGGTGCAAGCTCCTGTAAACTTCTGACCAGACAGTATTATGGCTGCACATTACAGCACTTTAGATAAAATCAAAAGTTGTTACGATGAAACCACCAGAATATTTATTGCAAGCTTAAATTTATACAATCAGTCACTAAGATTTTCATAGATGTAACAAGCTTTACTGTATTTTTTCATCTGTTCTTACATTATCAAGACTTCAAGCTTCTGAAGTACAACTGCAGAACATGCTGGTTCTCTTTGGTGGCAGAAAGCACACAAATTTTATTTCTCCCTCTGAGAGGAAAGAAAAGGTGAAAAGCCTAAACAGATTTTTGCTGTGAGATGGTGTGTTGTGTGTTGGTTTGGGTTTTTTTTGCATTGATTTATTCCCACTGCCTACCCTTTTCATGATCCATCTATATAAAAAATGATCTAGTACTTTGAAAAAAAAATGGAGCTACTTACCCAAAAATCCCACAGCATGCAGTCAGGAGCCAGCTGAGTAATCTGGACTTGAACAAGGAACGTCATTCAGAATTTGGGCTCCCCAGAACAAGACAGACATTGACATACTGGACTGAGGCCAGCAGAAGTCCATCAAGGTGATGAAAGAGCTGGAGAACACGATGGAAAAGGCCAAGAGAGCTGGGTTTGTTCAGGCCTTAAGAGTAGGCGGCTTTGGGAGGACCTTACTGCTCTCTTGAACTACCTAATGGGAGGGCATAGGGAAGACATTTCTTGGAGGCACAGTGGCAGAAGGAGAGGCAGCGGACAAAAACTAGAACATGGGAAACTCCAGTTAAATATAGGCAACATTTTTTTCCACTGCAAATATGGTCAAACACTGGAACTGGTGGCCTAGAGAGGATGGAGATCCACAACCCTGGAAGCATTCAAAACTCAACCAGGTAACAGCGACATGATCTAGGCACACCTGCTTTGAGGAAGGTGATAGACCAGGCAGCCTCTGGAAGTCCCTTCCACCTTAAATTATTAGGCCAGTGACTCTCTCTGGAGTCATATACGCCATGCACATACAAAGACCTTTTGTTTTGCTTTTAAAGTCTCCTTAATTTTTACATTTTTCATTTGTTAAAACATAAAATACCAATGTAAAACACAAGTATGACATTTTAAAACTGAAGTGGCAATTGAGCACATTGCTTAAGTACCAGTGTCATTTTATCTGGATTTTAACACACTAGCACACTATGTGAGATGTTACCAGTAGCCAAACTTGAAAATGCAAAACATGTATTCAGGCATGGTATTTTATTAAGATGACAAATTGGTTTTGTTATCAGTCAGTCATTGAAAACAACCTGTACACATCTAACCTAGTTGGCGAAAATAGCTGTCCAATTATATAGCTCATTATGCTCTGAAGTGATTCTATTCATTGTTTCAGTCCCCACAAAAAACAATTACCAGCTTTAACGTATATTAAAAGTCACATTACAGTCTGCTCTCAAAAGTACAAAAAATAACACTTTAAATATACACTGGCTCCTAAGCTTAGACTGAATTCTGTCAGGAAGGGAACTCTGCACTTCAATAGACAGTGCCTTCAACATCAAGAGCTCTTCAAAGTGCTTGGCAGAGCGCGTCAACACTATCCCCACTTACTAGACAATGAAATAAGGCACAGAGGTCAACTACCTTGCCCACGGTCACGCAGAGCGAGTGGTAGAACTAACAGAGCAGAACTCAGGCTTTTCAGTTGTCCAGTGTAACCACCACATCTCGTTGCCACTATTCAAGTGCAATGGCTTAAGCATTTCTGAGGAGCAAAACTTGTACAGCATACAGTAAACAGAAGGGGCAATCCAGGGCCAGTCAAAGGCTGCAACAATTTCAACCCAAACCAAACCAATTTGGTAGTCAATAAATCAAAATGCACTTCAGGGAATGATCACGTAGAATACATTAACCTGCAGAGAGAAAGCTCATTAAATGTAACACATAACAGTGTTAGCTTTGCAAAAAGTACTGGTTATCTTAAGCCTGACAGTAGTTCAGGTAATGCTGACTTAATCAGAGAAGTCATATTTTCTGATCAGCATGCTTTCTGATCTTAAACACTGTTGTTCTGCCAGCAAGGTACACTTCTCTGGAGAGTCACACAGAAATGCAAACGAGGGGCCAAATACCTCCTCAGGAGGCATGGATGTGTATGAGGCACAAAAAAGCCACATTAATTGCTTGTGAGGTATGGACTAGGTGGTAAAGAAATACCAATCTGGAAAAATAAAAGTCTAAAATAAATAAGGTTAAGAAAACTGAAAGTCACCCATTAAAATCACCAAGAAATACATCTTCAGATAGATTATGCTTCAGAAAAGAAAGTGCAATAAGTGTAACGACTGCTTGGATGAGAAGGATACTATAGCTTAGCCCTCTGATGACAAATAAGCATTTCAGAAAGCCTGTCCTTGAACAGGATGCTCATGAGATGACTCATTTACTGACAGAGACTGCTGATGGGATTCAGAAACATGTACACTTTGATTCTGTTCTTCACTGATCTGATGGGAAGGAACTTGGCTAGAGTGAGATTGTTGACTTGATTCCTGAGTCAGCTGCACCTGCTGAGCTGGATGTGAAGATCCCGCTAAGTGGATTTCTTCATTTTGTCCTTGATGAGCGTGGAGATGTTCTAGTGCTTCCTTGGAAAAAAAAAGACATGCATTTGTTCAGCTTGGGCAGTCTCTATTTCGTTTGCAATCATATTGATACTTTGGATCTGTTCTGCTTGCTCCTGCTGAGCTGAAAGCAGCAAGTTTTGCAACTGCTGTGGTGGGTGAGCAAGCAGCGTGAGGTCAGCAGCCTGCTCTGTTGTCATATTTGGGGCATTTTCTGCAGTAACAATACTAATGCCTTGATTGTGAGTAGGCATGAAGTTTATATTGTGTACTGCATCTGTAACCAGCAGTTGAATTTCCTGCCCTCCAGAGGTGGCAAGTTGATACTGCTGCAGCTGAAGAATGTTTCTCACTTCCGAATTGGCACTGGTGCTTGGGGCAGCGCGGGCTTCCTGAAACTGCTTTTCCTTGCTATGAATTTTCAAATGAGACTTCAGGTTGTCCAGGCGAGCAAACTGCAAACTACATTCTGGGCAGGAGAAAGGCTTTTTGCCTGTGTGTAAGATACAGTGTCTTCTCTTGGCACTGGAATCAGAGAAGGATTTTCCACATATGCCACAAGAATATGGCTTTTCTCCTCTGCAAAATAATGTATTTGATCTCATTAAAATATTCACTTTGGCAGTGCTGCTTTCTGCAACTTATTAAAGAATAAAAACCTGAAATGATTAATTTGTTTTGCTAAATCATAAGCACATACGAACAGTGATATTAAAAACATTCTCTAACTTCCTCATTATTTCTATTTCACTTCACAAACTGTAGAACACTTCCATTAGCATATACTCAAGAGCTACAGAGATAACACAACTGCCCTCCTGTTGTAATACCAGAGGTACAAACTCTGTGCTGCTAGACCTTGACGAGAACAGAACAACTTACTTTGCACAACTGTAAGCACTGACCATTTTAAGAACATTTATCAACAGTGTGGGCTTTAAAACAAAAAGAAGTGTACAAATCCTACCTTGATGCCCGACTCAAAGGGATGAGAAATTTTACCTTAAACGTTTTCTTTTACGTAAGGCCCACAACAGTTCTCCAATGATTTAAAATCTGACATGCCGTTATGCAATACATCACACTGATATGGGTAAAAGGTAACTAATGCTATTAAAGAGACATGATAGACTACAGGGAAACAAGACAATGCTCCAGTAACCTTGTTAGAGCATGGCTACTGTTCTGCTGTCAAACAAAAACTCACAGTAAAATTTTCACATAAATAATACAGCAGTAAGTACATTGTCATTAAACAGACACAATAGACCAAAGAATCATCCTAACAATGTCTTGATGCACTAGTATTTTACAGTGCAGTACTTTCCACTACCAATTATTTCTTTAAATAGATTAAGCAAAAATGTTAGTCTTTAACCGCCCACCCAAAATGCAAACAAGCCCTGAACATTCAATAACTGAACAAGCACTATATACAGGTATCAGATTAGAAGTTACATTTCTAAAGAATGTAATGAAAATGACATACTCTACCTGTGAATTCTAATGTGAGTCTGAAGAGAACTTTTAGCTGTAAATGATTTGCCACAAATTTCACAAGTGAAGGGCTTCTCACCTACCAAAAAGAAATTCGACATCACTTTTGATATAGCACTTCCCATCAATATATTAAAAAAAAACGTTTTATATTTTACCATACACAGTATCAAATATGTACTGTCAAATCTTCACGCTTCCGCCATGGGTCAGGACAGATAGCTGAAATTGAATGAACTCACTAGTTAAATGAGGGTATAGTATTTTAAACATACATCTCTGATGTTTCTCCCCTTTGAAGATAAAGAATTAGGTGATCCAAACCCTCAGAGCAACAAAAAACATACTTACGATACAGATGTGGGTGTTCCACATGGAACAGACAAGTTTGAAAAAGGCTGACCCTGAACTAGTAGGCATTAACGCTAGGCTCACATGCAGCACCATGCAGATGACCAAGCCCATATCTCCAAACCTGAAAAGTGAATCCATTATCTTAACAAGCTGGCTGGCTTCCTATAAGGCTCCATCATCCTAGGCCTAGGATATCCTGGGAACACCAGTCAGAGAAAAATTCGTTGGTTTTTTTTTTGTTGTTGTTGTTTTGTTTTTTTTTTGTTTGTTTGTTTGTTTGTTTTTTAAACTGCATTTGTAATTCTTGTATCTAATTGAGTAGAAGCAGAGGAGCCAAATTAAATAACAGAAAGGTTCACAAGAAACAGATACTACCCAACCAAAGCAAATCCTAATTCACACCATAACATATCCTTGTTGCACTAAGCTTCACTAGACATGAGAATCCAGATCACTACGGTGGCAATTCACACCACTAAAGCACACTGAAACCAGGGACTGGGCAGCAGCCTGTTTCCAAGGAAGCTTCGTAATCAGCACAGAACGACAATGCTTATCAGTTTTCATATTGCTTTGGAGGGCACAGGTAAAGGATGAGTGAACAAGAAACATTTGTCAGAAGGGACCTCTAACCATTGAGTCCCAGCCTCCTCCTGACAATGAGTAACTTTCTAACTAGACTGTATTCTTATGACATAGTGTTACAAAACCGCTGCCAAAGTGGAACAGTCGTTATCAACGTTAACACCTGTCGCCCAAACTCCTTAGAATTTTACTTCTTGCTAATGAGATGGGACAGATTGATTATTATTCTGCACTGTTAATACTGTTATCTGGCCTGTCTTTTCTGGAAGCAAAATACATTGCAAACCAGTTTCTGCTACCACTCATCTGAGTTCATCTGTTTTTGCAACCTACCTTGCTAGTATGCCTCCTTTTCTCATTTCCCACTACATTTATAGAGCTGTATCAGCTTCAGATACAGAACCGGTATGCATGTCAACAAACGCTATGTTCTCCTCAATAGAAAATGCAGTATTTGTATCGCAAGTTAACACTATTCTGGATACACCAAAAACTCCCAAGAACACAAGTTCTGACCTCATCATATCCCAGGGAATTTAAAGCTGTGTTATTTTCATTAAGAAAGAGAAGAAAGTGAATGAAATACATAGCTCAATCTTGTGCATTCTTTATTACAACCACAGGCAACATGCTTAAGAGTAATTAGGTTTTGGGAAGAAACAATGACCACTGTTTATAGCTATTCACAGGTCATCCTATGAACCTACCCTTCAAAGAAAACTATTTTAAGAAGCTTATGCTTTGTTATCACGAGAGGGCAGATGAACATTTTTATCTGTTATCCAGCCACTCAAGTATCACCTTGCCCCCTAAATCTCTTAAAACACCCTCCAACGCACTTGCACTAAATCATCCCTCCCAGCCCATCTCCTGCCAACATCTGGTTTATTACAGCGCAAGAAAAAGGTAAATGGAAATAAATGTTTTTCTGGTCAGCAGCATTTTTCATAAGCACCCGTTTCTCACAGACAGAGGCGCCCACGCCCAACTCATTTAGGACATACACTTTCTGCTACTAAGTAGTTCACTTCAAACCCCATACATGCTATATGTGGCTCTCCTGATAAACTGAATTCCCAGTCCAGGATTCTATCACAGGAGAGCTACCTGGCATTTTCTGCAGCAGGCTTTGTAAGAATGGAAAAAAAAAACCCTCTCTTCCTATAGCAGGGACTGCTGCACTGTTGTAATAGAAGCTTTTTTGCACTCCTGCATTCTTGATGTCAAATCTCTTCATTAGCAATGCAGGCATCATTATGTATGTGTAGAGCAGAAGTTCATCCCAGAGAGACAACTGTCATTTGCCTAACATTGTTTTGTCTGTGTTACTTTGAGGAAAAAAAACCAAACACAAAACACGATGGACAATATTACCTGTATGTGTTCTCAGATGTTTCTTTAACTGAGCAGCATCCATGAATTTGCGACGACACTGGTTACATTCCGGCAGCGAATGGCCTTGTCGCAATAATAAAAAAAGTGTCAGTGCATATGTGATCCCCTGTATCTCTTCAGTGATCTTTGTTAAAGCACTTTCCTGTAAAATAACCACTTTGATATAATATAGAGATAAAACAAAAGGTGATTCACTGTCTCCTCCCTATCTTAACGGTCACACTTCTACTTCTGTATTTAATATTATCACGCAAAAAGAGGGAACTGACACTTGCTCACCCCCAAACAAGCTTTGTAAATTCTGATTTCTTTCCACCACTTCCTGCATGCGTAGCTTAATCTCCATCCTGCTCCAAAAGTGAGGACACTTCTTAAAGCTTGTTTGCCATTACTAGTCCAAAGCAGTGGGAAGCTAGAAGGCAATGTGCACAACAGGCAGTGGACACATTTGTTTATACAATTCCTAGTTTCTATGTAACACAGACAGCAGAGCTAAAATAATCAAACAGTATGTCAAATACAGCGTAACTGATTTTAATCATCGTAAGAGTCCTTCTCGATTAACTATTTTTCTAAACATTCCATTTATTATACACCATTTTGTCTTTTTCACCCTATTCACCATACCACACATCAGGGTAGGAGAGACGAAATTTATCATTGAAGAAGAATTTTCAGCCTTAGTCAATCTTTAGGAGGACAAATCAGCATGGACTGTAAGCCAGCTCTTCAACCCAAACTTGTTATACCTGTGTGTACTCGATAGTGGCTCTTGAGCTGTCTCTTTTGGCTGAAGTATTTCCCACACTGATCGCATGTAAAAGCCTTCTGCCCTGTAAAGGAAATCCCTCGTTAAAATGTAAGCCACATCCAAAGCAAGGATAAGAAAATAAATAAATATATAACCCAGCACACACAAGAGAGAGCAGAAATACCTTTTTTCAGAAAGGCAAATTCTTGAGGGAGAGAGGTTACATTTACCTTGAAACATTTACCTGTATGTAGGCTCATATGCTCCAGAAGAGAATGCTTTGTTGTCAGAGCCTTACTGCAGACGGTGCACGTGTATGGCCGTTCTCCAGTGTGCATCCGCTCGTGGACTTGAAGAGAATGCTTCTGGGAAAAGCCTTTGCCACATTCACTGCACTTAAAAGGGCGCTCCCCTAAAAGCAAAAGACAACATTTTAAAGTATAGATGTATTATTTCTCACTAGATATTCTAAGCTGATAGTGAGATGCATTGTAACGTAGTAGCTATTAAAAAATTGCTTTTGACTAGCGATAAGCAGAATTAAGAGAGAAGCTTGACATAGTAATAAAATAATTCTTTAAGTATTGCCATATAATTCAACATTTAAGCAGAAAAATTATTAAGTAAACTGCAATCAAGGTAAGACATAAAGGCTGCAAGATTTGCTGACAAGAAGAAAACAGCGAACACAGGAGACGCACCATAATTTGGATCAGCATGTTATTTTGGACAGTTCTTGCTGTAGACAACAGCCCACATTTCAGCAACCAGCTTGCATTTAGCAACAAAGCACTAAACCCTAACCCAAAAGCAGCAGTCCCTTAATGCCTACCTGTATGACTTCGCTGATGAATAGCTAAGAAGTGATTATATTTAAATACTTTGCCACAGTCTTTACAGCGAGCTTCAGAACCTGCACGTTTTCGTTTTCCGTCTGTTCTCTTTGCCAGTCCTTTTTCGTCCTCATCACTGAGGAGTTTATAATCTTTTAGTTTGATTGATCTCCTTATTCTACGTTTGCTGTAACGGCTCTGAGTGCCCTGTATTCCTTCAGATTTCGGATCATAATTCTCATCTTTCTCAGCTGACAGATCAACAGCAGCTTCTGAGCCACAAGCATGTTCATTTTCTTCTGCATCTTTCCTCACTGGAGTCTGTTCGCTGGCAACTGTTTCCTCTGCTGCAATGTCTTTTTTCATAAAATTTTGCTTATTTTGCACAGAGTTGTTCTCTCTCAGCTGCACATCTTCAGCAGAATTTGCTCCTGACTTTTCTTCTTGAACATTCTTGACTTTCCTCGGTCGCCCTCGTTTTCGCTTTGGTGGATCTTCATTTTTCTTGTTGCTTGCAATAATGGCTACAGAGGCTCCACTGTTAGCTGGAGCTGGTAATGCATTACTTGGGCTACGGCTGGCCTGATAGTCTGTACAGGCCCATACCAAGTCAGTCACTTTCAGCAGCTGTGCAGTAGCCAGAATTTGTTCTGTGCTTTTTTCACTGGCACGGAGGCAACCAGTGTAGATAAATTCTAGCAATGCTCCAAAGGTGTCTGCAACCATTCCCTCCAACATGTAAATAGACTGCCCTATTTCACCCTCATCTACAAACATCATTGAGAAATACTCACTGCTGGCAGCAAGCAAAGCTTTGTGGGCCCTGAATTGCACATTCTCCACTATTAGAGTAATGTCACAAAGAAAATCCTTTTTCCTTTGTTCTTCAAAATTAGCTAGAATGGTATCTTTGTGAGCTTTGGAGTGGATGACAACTAGTTTCTCAGAAGCATCAGGAGTTGTTTCTGCCATTTTTATTGTGAATATGAAAGGATGCGCCTACAAGGACAGAATAGCTTTAATAAAGAAGTATTTTAGAAGTTTGCATTATAAGACACCAAATATCATTTGCTTTACTAGTGAACAGTTTCTGAAGAAACTCTGAAGCCTTCGAACTTTTTTAAAAAAAAAAAAAAAAAATCAACACTAATGCTGACACAGATTTTTCTTAAAAAAGTGTTTTCAAATTCTAAGAAATGGCTACAAATAGTTTCTTCTCAGGTCAGAGTTACTGCCTATTATTTCACTTGTTTGTCTCTTATGTACTGTGAACTGTATAACATCTAAAAAAATGGTTATCCCTTCTGAAAACGCCTTTCACAAGTAAAAGAACTGGACAAAAGGAATTCTTTGTTCACAGCTCCCAAATGGAAGAAAATAATGAAAAAAAAAGTCACCTGCAGCTTTATCACTGCAGATGCCACATTTCAGATTATTCAGGGACAAGGCTATGAAATTCTGTAATCAATGACAAAACTTCACTGGCACCAATGTAGCAGGACTCCACGCCTTCTTTTACCCACTTCTATCCTCCTAAAAATTTCTCTCTCGGAACACTTACCTGCTACACTTCAGCCTATGGAGGTGGGCAATAAAAGCAGAAAAACAGCAGCTTTTTTAAGAGCTCTGTCTAAAATAAGGTTAACTAGGCTAACTATTCACCATCAGTTTGGCTTGCTAAGTTTCTTCAATTGTAAATATGCAAAGATTAAAAACAAGCAAAAAAAATACTCCAGCAATTTCAGAACAATCCACCAAACACAAGTATGGAAAAGATGTGTCAAAAATGTCCATTTTAAGAGGACCAGCTGAGCCAAAGGTGAAACGGATTAGCTACCTGCCATCCTAATTTATAAAACTGTCATATTAAATACAAATACATATTCATATTTGCACTTAGTGAGCGCAACAGTTCCAACCACCTGAACAAATGCTGTAAGGAACAACACACACTATATATACAGATGATACCTAAATGCTACTGAGGTGACCAACAAGTGATTTTTTTAGCCCCATTCAGCCACCAAACAGTTCATGCCGCACCCACACTGCTTTATTTGTGAGGTTTAATTTCCGGAGGATGCGAGCCTGATGTTTCTGGAGCACCTTAAAGCACAGCTGCTGATCTGACCCAGCTCTGCCTTAAAGCGCGTTACAAGAAGCCGCGAAGAGCTGCTGCCAACTCTGCTGCAGGCACTCCCCAACAGCCACACGTGTCTCGGACAGGGTACCGAGTGTCCTGCGGGGTTTGATCACACGGAGGACTCTGGTATTCAGCCACGAGATCACATCATTGGTATTCTGACTGCAAAAGCCAAACCAGCACGCCTACCTAAAAACTCCCCGACAGTGCTAGCGCAAGGCCGTACGTGAGGGGCGGCACCCAC